GGTGAATTGAGGCAGAGATAGTGAAGCAGCGGTTGTTGCAGTCGCCGGAGAAACAGCCGTCATTTCCGAATACGAAGGGTCAAAAATTACGAATTTTCCGGCGGATATCTTCTTCAATACGAATTTTGCGCTTAAAGACGAATCTGACATGTGGCGGAGATGTAAGAATTGACATATATACCCCTATCTGTCAAATGACACGTTATTATGAAAATGTTTGATTAGTTTCCGGCTTGATCAAATACAATCGAAGAAGAAACTGAGGTCAAACGGTTTTCTCTCGGTTTATTTAGAATGTTTTTTTTTTTTTTTTCTAAAAGGTAAATATTTCATTATCAATGAAAATGTTCTTAGCTTACAATCGATGACTATAAGCTAATGATCATGTATCCACGGCAAAAAAGAATTAAAAACATGGATACATAGTTTCAACCGGTTTTCAGTCCGTCGCGTCAACAAAGCCAAAGGCATTTGGAATACGACGAAGTGATGACGATATTAAAATGTTCTTCCCAAGTCCACATCTCGCGAAGCGTAAGCAGAGAGAAGCGAGAGAGATGACGCAAACCACGAAGCAGTAGAAGCATTTCACACGAGGCCCAAAAACTGAACCGTCAACGGCAACGACCTCACAGTTCTCGATCACTTGCACCAACTGTGCCAAGTGAGAGTCACTCAGGGAACATTTCCATGAGCTAGAACAGCGAGAAACCTCTAAACCAAATCCTGTGTTAGCAGCAGCTCACTCTTCCTAGGGCACGGCAAGCACAGAGCTAACTAATCCTTCAAACCTCAAGTACTAACACTATTAGTCTTACTTCTCCTCTAAAGCTCCATGAAGAGCAAAAATACCAATTCAACTTAACAATGCCACAACCTCAACAAAGCCATACACTATGAAGACACACTTAATACCAAGGCCCGATAACCACCGAGAGACTAGAATACGCAGAGGCGGAAAGGATGACACAGTGCACACCTCCACCGGAGGCAGAACCACATCAAAATCTACTTCTACGCAAGAGGCGAGTGGCTGATCCAGGACCACTAAACCCAATTTCTCACACTCGCAAGGGCAACCATGGACACATACCTGAAACGAGAAGAGCACTGTCCCTGCACAACTCCATCTGAGATGCATCCATCCTCACAAGCCTAATCGAGCAATAAGTGACCGTGGACCAAGCAATCCACCCCAAAGAGAAGCAATAACTCCAAATAGCCTAACCTATGAGAATGGGGCATCAAGCAGCAAGGGAGAACAATAACCTYCAACAYAAAGRATCCTCCRCAACTCCCTGAAATCTCACTGAGAACAAGCCAAGAGGAGAACAAAAGGGAAACATGGATAGGACAGCAACTGTACTCAATGCCGTAATCACCACCCACCCCAAGCAGAGGAGAATGACGGAGAGAAGGTAACCACCAGAGGCATCCCTTAGCACGGCGGATCTCCCAAGGGCACTTGGAAGAGAGTGAATCCTAAAGAGAAGAAATCAYCTGAACCAAGACCACCGGACGTCGCTCRGAGGCCAATCCCACCGAGTCTTCGCCGGAAACACAGAGGAGGAGGAGGATCTACGAAGATCCACACCGGTCGAGCACCGTGAGGCTGATGCAGAGGAGTAGCTATCGAGGCCTAAAGACGCTTCACCCGCGACAAGCAGAAGCCGCCAGTGACCACGCTCCTCACCACCAAGACGCGGCCGTCACATACGGTGTTCTCCGACCATCTCGCCGAGAAAGGCTTCTCAGATTTAGGGCATCTAGGGGAACGAGCTCTTTCGAACCAAAGTGGCAGACGGGCCGGGCGGGGACCCTCTCGCGGGACCAGTTGAGGCCGGAACCGGAGAGGCAGAGCGAAGACGATGGCGGCGAGTTGTTCGGCGGTGAGTTTTTGTAAAGAATCGTAGCGCGTGATTTCACGCGCACGACTCTCTACTTGATGTAATGGATTTTATTTTAGAATGTTGATTAGGGAGATTCGGTTAGTTTCCGATTTCGCAACAAACTTGGCATTTGTTTAGCAAAAAACAAAAAAAACTTGGCATTTGGGAAGGCCTAAACATCGTTTTATGCAGAAAATATAGTTCGTGGAAACAAAAACTAAATCATACTACGATATTGTTCAAAGTACTATTTTTTATTATTAATCATTAAAAGGCATGGAAGAATGACTATGAACTCACTTATATTTTTCTTTTATATATTCTCTCAAACAAAAGAAAATTGTGTATTACTAGTGACCACAAAAAGGTCTTATATAAAAAATATATATATAGTATTAAAATACCTAGAAATGACAGATTTTTTTTTTATAAAGTAAAATTTAAGTATCAAGTTTTCGGGATATTTGAACCCGACGTGAATCGAACACGAAATGACAGATTTTTTTGTTTTTAACTTCAGATTTGTTGTTGCCAAAATAAAACCGATAATAAAATTGTAAATCTATTCTCCACCATCAAATTTTTCTTTGGTTTTTCAAAAAAAACAAAAAAAAATCTTTAGTGCAAAAACTCAAGCGACGGAGGTTCGAATTCCGCTCGAAAATATTTTGTCCGGTGATTATTATGAAGTCAAACATATGACCGCTTATTGAAACGGTGTGTGAAAAATATAAACAAAGTCGTACTACAAAAGTTTGAATCTCAACAACTCTTTAAATCTCGTTACTCCATTTATTACTTACATTGCATGTAAAGGTTATATAAGTACTAGTACTAGTATTTATAACTATAACATTTTTTATTTTTTTTTGTCAACATAACTATAAACATTAAATAAGTGTTATTTGAATTCAGCTAGCTTTAGGTCACGCGTTTCCTCGGGTTCCCTATTCTCATTTAAAACCCATTTTCTATTTTTCTATTAATTAACTCATTTTGATCATTTGTCACGGGCTCTCTCTCTTTGCATATGAACTAGTATTTCTCAATCACAGATACTCCAATTCGTTTTCAATGGAAATGTCGTTTTACCCTCGTTCACATGATCATGAGTTAAAATTATTTTTATAAATATTTATGGGATTTTAAAATATAATCTGGATCTTTTTATTCTATTTAATAAATGGTATCAGAAAACAATTTATTTATGGGATATGCAAAGCAATGGTACCATTTGCGAAAAATAGCTTCGCAAACAAATGAAGTAACATCGACGTCTGCATGATTGCATGTTACATCATTTCAAGGAAATTTCCATTTATAAATATTACCCTACGGAAACCAACAAAATAATTTAGCATCAATTTGAAGTAAAAACACTCTATCTGCAAAATGCAGTGAATATTCATAGAACTTCTTAGACGAGTTTGTGGATGATTTGGCACCATACTTACACTTCCGCCGGATCCAATGATGTTTTCACGTTTGTTAATGCATGGGAGTGTACGCTAAGTGTAGATAATGGTGAAAGCCATTGTGAGAAAAAGAACGAATTTCGTTAAACAATATTTCGCGACTAATGTTGCAACATTAAACAATCTTTTGATTTCAACGTTTTTTTTTTAAAACATTGACTTCAACATGCCGATAATAATGAATTAAAATTGACAATCTTGTTGTTTTTGAAGTCCTTTGACCAAATAGTAATTACTAAAATCATTGATTATTTAACTTTCTTTCCGAACATATCAGAAATTCTAACTTAATTACAATCCTACAAGAACCCGAGTTCATATTTTATAACTTTTTTTACAATACATCCATAAACCATTTACATAGATAATTTGATCGTTCAAAAGATACAATTTTCGTCTTCCTCTCAGAGTCAAAATTTTGTGTTACCTCCATGATCTAAAACAAGTATTATCCACAAATTTAGATTTTGAATTTTAGTAATCTTTGGTACT